TGTAAAAGCTACCTCATCAGACAATCCTTGAATCTGAATTCTGATCATATTGAACTGCCTGACATATGAGCGCAGCCCTTCTCTCTCTCCCTGTCTAACAGTGCTCAGATCAAGGCTTGTTTTCTTAGCAGAGATGTTCATTGAGAAGTTGGAAGCAAACAGGAAAGCGAGCTTCCTGAAATTATCAATGGACCCGGCTGGCAAGTTGCCAAACCATTGGTTGGCAATGCCCTTCAATGTAGCCGGGAAGCAACGACACCAAGTGGCATCATCCAACCCCTGCAAGTACATGAGGTTGGTGTATGCCATAAGGTGATCTTCTGGGTTGGTAGTACCATCGTAGGTACCCACCAACACATTCTTAATCTTGGTTGGCTGTGCCGCCTCGGTTATCTCCCGGGTGAACGCAAAAGGTTGCTCACCCAGGCGTATCAGACGGAGCTGCCAGTCCAGTGGCTGGACATTTTGATATGCCGCCTGACCTCCGAAGAGAGCCGGCTGCATGAAGTGAGGAGGATATTGTCCGTATGCCTGAGTAGGCACATACGGTACTGTAGGGAATAATTTCAAGCCTTAATCCCACTAGCTCGAACCCCACTGTGATCATACACTAAAGTACGGTGGCGTCCAAAAGGGAAGAAGATAGAGCAAAAGAGTCGCCAACAAGTTTTTAAGGAACTTGTAAACCGTTCACGAGGTGAAGGTTACACCCCTTAACGATCCAAGAGATCGTCAACTCCATAAGGTCATGAACCAAATAAGGGTTCGGGGATGAAGGTACAAATCCAACCTAAAAAAGATTGAACCTGCCTTAATAATAGGCCTCTACTTTATTCTGGTCGTATTCATGTGCGCTTTCTGATTAACATGCAATTAATAGGATTAACCCTAAACCTGTTTAATCTATGTTGGTTGAATATTAATGCACAAATAAACTATTATTGGCGATCACTTGAATTATAATCAAAATTAACCTAACAAGATTATTAATTATCTTATTAAGCGTGATTACAAGTACAAATTCCCTTTAAACATGCATAAAAGGTGATCAGGCGATAACAATATAAAATATAATACATATCAAGCAACATAATAAATAACATCATTAATAATAATAATAATAATATCAATCATAAATAATGATAATCATGATCATGTTAAAGCATAGCAAGATCCTAGCATGATACTAACAAGATTAATAACAAACCCTAGCATGTCACTAAACAATAAAAATCAAATCTTTAGCCCTAACATGATACTAGCAATCATAAATATCAGGAAGAGCATATGAAGCATCACAACAATCATATTTAATATTAAAATTACCCTAGACATGATACTAGGAATATCATAATAACAATATAAACATGATATCTACATCATAATATCAATAAATCAATTAAAGTACTTACTTTGATGCTTCGTACCTCTTTCTAATAACAAAATACACACGTTAGTAACTTCAAGGAAAATAATAATCAAAGCAATTAAATTAAATAATTGAAAGAGAGATTTGGGACCAAACCCTCAGAAATTAAAACCTTTCACGTCTAGGGCGAAGGCAACTTCGAATATGGCTAGGTGTATCAAGATCTTGTGAATGCGGAATTTTGTATGAAAAAGCAAGAAAGAATTTAAAGAGAGAATTCTAAAGAATGAATGTTATTGAAACTTGATGAATGAAAGATGAATGAAAGAAAAGAATTAGATGAATGCTAATTGATGAATGATTTGTGAATGAGGAGAGTTGATGATAGATGATGTTTCTTGATGAATCTTGATGATAATTGGTGAATCTTGGTTGTAGATGATCCTGAAAACGGAGTTTTTGATACGATATTTATAGAGAAAATCATCCAAAAAAGATAATTTAACAAAACAGAGTCTGAAGATCGTAAAACAACATTGGCGCCAGCCCTGGCTAGTTGGCGCCAGCACCAGTGGCTAGCGCCAGGCGCCAATGGCTAGCGCCTGGCGCCAATCCTGGTTCCAGGCGCCAAGGCCTGGGGTTGGACGCTAAACTGTTTTTCAACGCGTTTTCGAAAATCTGATAAATTTCCCGTACTGGAAGATAAAATAATATAATTTCTTCGAAAATGCTATTTAATCTTGATTAAAACTCTGAAGAGTCCTAATTGAATTAGGAATGATAAGACCTTCTAGAATGTTCTAGAAGACTAAAACCATTCCTAATTACATTAGGAATGATAAATTATATTAGGCCCTCCCCTAGATCATTAGGCCGTACTTAAAGCTCAAACCGGGCCCAGTTTAGTAAATTGGTCATAACTTCCTCAATATTCATCGGAATTGGGCTTATAATATATCGTTGGAAAGGTCTTTGCAAGCCCCATCCAACTACACCACTATTGGACCCATATCATGGACCAACAAAACTGGATTAGCTGTTTTCTTAAAATAAAGTTTTCAAAAACAGAGAAAAAAGAAAAGAAATAAAACTTTCCGCAACATTAGACCTTTCCACACTTTCGTTTCATTCGATTATGATTCGACGTGAAAGGCACTCATCACTGGGTTTGGTTTTGGGGAGACACAAATGGGTGTCTACAGGTACAGCTCCAATCATCTGAGGGATAGAATGGACGGTATTACCGCCTGTCTGGCTCTCATGCAGGGAGAGTGCATTCCCTGCAGAAGTGTTGTTGAAGCTGTCTGGAAAATTCGACGTTGTAGCCAACTCAGATAGCTGCTGATTCCTCTTTCGGTTGATTATTTCCCGGGCATCAGGAGTTGATTTTTTACTTCCCACCGGCTGCTGTGTCTGGCGGGTGTTGTTGTTCCTCTTAGGAAGAAGAATTTTTTACCAATCAATGGTCCCGGCTGCCTTCTCCTTTGGATGAGGAGTGGGCTGACGTTCTCTAACTGACTTCCTCTTTTCCAGAGGAGTCTTCTTGGCCGACTGACCTTTACTTGGGCCAGCCCGGCTCTGGGTGATCAGCTCTTTAATTTCACCCTTGAAACTTGTCATGAATCTCATGAGTTCATCTCGGGTGACGGGTGCTGATCCAGATGCCGGATGGGTTTCCCCTTCCGGCTGACCAGGGGGTCGACTTGCACCCGCCTGGGAGGCACCCCGCTCTAGAGTGTCTCTGGGCCGGATGCGTTTGGTTCTAAGAGAGCCATCATCGGCTGTAAAATTTTCGACCTGAGGATCTTCATCCTCATGGTCGGTAAAGACTTCTGGGTCATCGCCCAGACGATTAGGGGGTGGTACAGACTCTTGAACCATCTTCGAGGTACTCTCCCCACAGACGGCGCCAAATGTTTTGGGTGTTTTTGTCCCTCGGGAGAGTTACAACACGAAGACTGATCCGGCGTGAGCTGTACCTGCAAAACAAACGGAGGCACCGGTTGGTTGGTGCTCCGCCTCCGACGAACAAGTTAGTAACTTGAAGGGAGAGAAAAAGGTGCGGAAATTTAGGTGGGTATCTGCTCGGATTCTAAGCTCAGATGTCTCTATCACAGGGACTGAGTGTAATAAATGGTCAAAACGTGCCCCCCAAAAGAGGGAAATCTCCCTATTTATAGGGTCCTCGGGATTTGTGCCCCTGGTTAGGTCTTTGATCCCTTATCATTGGTGGGCTGCGCCGCATTGCGGCTTTTTCGGGATTTGGGCCTGAAGGCCGCCATTTTCCCCCTAATTTCTGGAATGACACGTGTCAAGCAGGGATTGGTCCACTTTGGGCTATCCTGAGGCTGACACGTGTCATCCTCTGATTGGACCACGTGGCGGGGTAAAATTACCCTAAACACTACCCATTAACGTTTCCCGTCAAAAAAAACATTAATGGGACCCACTTTTTCACTTTTCCCACTTCATTAACTCCCCTAATTATTTTTCTCCCCTCCCTAATTAACTCCCCCTAAACCCTAGAAATCAAAACCCTCAAATATAGACATCCTACCAATTACAATGGCCAATTAGATATCCTACCAATTACAATGGCCAATTAGTTATTAAAATGCAATTAAATCAATCTTAAAGTCAAAATAATTAAAACCTACAACTCAATTAAACCCCTAAACCTTAAAAATCAAAACCCCCAATTTTTTTGAACCCATAAACCCTAATCCAAATCACTAATTTACACTGTAATTGTGTTAATTGCGCTCAATTAAAATTTGTAAACAAATACAACAAACAATGAATTAAAAGGTAAGTGTGAAACATAACATGAATAATTGAGAATTTGTGTTCAATTGATTGAGTATATGCTCTTGGATTTTTTGAGTGAGAATTGAGGGAAGTTAATTAGGGATGAGAGAGAAGGTAATTAGGGTATTTAGGGGAGTTAATTAAGCGGAAAAGTGAAAAATTAGGCCTAATTACGTCTTAATTGGACGGAAAACGTTAATGGGTAGTGCAACCCAAACGTTTTATAATTTTCGGGTAGTTCTATACAATAAGAAAAAAAAATGGGTAATTGTTCATAAATAACCCTATCTTTAGAGTAGTTCTAGACAAAATTTCCTAATTAAATAGACAAATAAATAAGTGTTGCCATTAATCAAAATCGATGACAAAAGAAAATGTTGTAATCAAATCCAACTTTTGAATGAAATGAATATACTTATCCAGACATCCCTATGCTTCATTGCTGGTTGCTAGATTAACATTCACAATCTATAACCGAAGTACCCTGTCCAAGAGGACAATGAAGAAGTAAGAAATAACGGAGTCAATACAATTCAATATCAACATTTGCCTGCCTCGGTATTTAGCTTCAACACACGATGTAGAGAATTCTCTAGCGCTTAGAAGGCCAAGAGATGAGATGAAAACATACAATGTTATAATGTACTCCCTCTGTTTCATAATAATGATATTGCTGTTTATGCAAATTGAGAGAAATTTAGAAGATTCTCTTTTATTTTATTAAGTAAAAAGATTCCAAACAAAAACATCATTGTGAAACGGAGGGAGTAGCTAATTTCAGCTGATAGCCTGATATAGATAACCTGCTTACGCCCAGATTTTACAGTGGAAATATTTTATACGTAGTAGAATACAAGAATCGTAGCTCATTTCTATTATTAAACAATATACTATACAAAATTCCCATACAATATACAATAATCATACAATTCCAACCAACCACAAACTCAAGATGATGTTTAACAAATGGCACCGCCTTGGTTTCTCTATCATTAATTGGAAGGTGGGAAGAAAATCTCAGATCAATGAACTATTTCTCTATATCTGGAACAACTCTAGCTGGAGATGTTACTACAAAAGATACCATACTAACACGACCATCCTTGTTTTCATGGCGGTTGCTCAGCCCATTGCAACTGCCTGAGCCTGTTATTGATGGGGTTTTCACAAACGCTTCCTCCCTTCGGGGGCGGTTTGCATAGACTAACCAAAGAATGAGACACAGCATTATACCAGCTGATATAAATCCCAAACCTATAATCACAATCAGAAGTTTATGTTCCAAAGGAGGGCAAAATCTCGATGTAATTGTCATAAATGTTTCCCGCAAGAAATTACAGTTTTGAAGGTTAAGCATCTCAGGGGTGTAATGCAGCACAGCGTAACTTGCGTTCACAGCCAGCACCAGTTGAGTATATACCCCTGGAGTCAGCCTGCCTACACTTGTACAATTTTTATTATCCACGGATGTCGTGCAGATGTATTTCGCCCACACCTGTAGTAAGGTTCAGGTGAAATTTTCATATTATTACCTCAGAGTAGTGTAGAGTTAACATCATTATAACACCTCCATATTTGCAATTTAAAGTGCCATAAGCGGGAAATTATCATCCTAGAGACCAAAAGGCCTGAAGCTTTTTAGTGCATTGTACGAGTGCGAATAAATAAACAAAGGCAATATAGCATACATACCGTAGAAGCATTTGCCATAGACACCTCCTGAGGTGAACACTCACGATCTTGCATTTTATCGTCATAAGGATAGCAAAGAGGGGGCATCAAAGGTCCAGATTGATTGTAGTAGAATTGATCAGATGGTGGTCGATCCGTATTTGCTGCAGTGTAAATATACGTATTGAGAGTGTTTACAAGCAAGCCAACAACTTTTCTACTTTCAAATAGTGTCTGGTTGGTTGCTCTCTCATCTTCACATGGAAGAATGTTGCTAAGAGCTGTCTCAGCTCGAGGATTATCTACCCACTCTTGCATTGCCACACACGAGTCTGAAATAGCACTGAATCACATAGCAAGTTCATTCCATTGACTATTAGTTAGAGTGCAAACAATAATGATAGAAGTTATGGAAGTGGAATAGAAATTGTCTCAAGATGAGCTTGAATTTCCAACCATGGTTCCGTCATTTCTAAACTTCAAAGAAGGAATGAAAAGAGAGTTTCTGGCAGATAACTTACGAGTTCAAGGTCATAAATGTTCCACAAAGAGTCAATGTAACCGCCACAAGTATCCATCCACTGAAAATGAATCTGCAGTCCAGGTATGAGACATATTAGCATAAAAGAAACAGGCCACCAACGATATAGAGAGAACAGAAATGGAAACCATTTTTGTAAAAAAAATAAATGTACGCTGGTGATAGGAAGGAAAAAAGAATGATGCTGCAAAGACTTACATGTGAATCACATTTGGGTGCCCGAGGAGAGAAAGCACTGCACAACCCAAAAAAAAAAAAAAAAAAAAGCATTATGTGACCCCTGAAATCAAACAATCATAGAGATGAAATAGCAAAAGGTAATGCATGTCACCAAATTTACATACCCAGACCCAAAATAGCCAAAACAAGCATCACAGAAGCGACAATAATTAACGCTGATCGTCTGCAGCAAGATATAAGAACAGAGCGTCAGGACATAAAATGTGTTAAAAACACCCTCAGTTAAAACATGATAATCTTAAAATTCATGTGAAAGTGAAATAATTAGGGTATATGAGTTCATACAGAGTATTGAAGACTCTTCTAACTTTTACGGAATTTTTATTAGTTTTCTCGGTTAATGTGTCAGCACCAGAACTCAAGCGTGTATTCAGCTCATCAATCTCCTGCATGGTACTCTGTGGCAGATTGAACTGAGGTACATCAACAGACTTTACAAGAGTTAAGTATTCTGACACATTTCTTAGCATTAGAGCTGTGTAGTCTGATTGGTTTACAACATATTTCAATGTCTGCAAGCCTTCACTATGAAATTCAAGTTGACCAACTGATAAAAGAATACAGCCCACCCTGTATAAGAAATCATCAGAGTAAATCAGGATGAGGCTTTAGATATAACATAAATAAAAGAAGCATCAGAAGTTTGAGAGGTAAACACAGCATTCCCTATTTATCTTGCACCGTTAATCAGAGATAAGTAGTGTGTTCCATAAATGCAAAGCAAAGCTGGAAGCATCCGATACTTTCTACGTAGTATTACGTAAAAGTATGATAATGTTACATGCGGCCTTCCAAATTCTTTTACTTCCTGCCAGGACATTAAGCCTTTTACTGTCTATAAGTACAATTAGTTTCTTTTTTTATCCCCAAGCAAAAATTCCCTCTGAAATTCTAGGATATAATTAATTATAAAATGAATTGTACACAGGCAAACCCGACACTCATAATTCAGCAAATTTGTCTAAATTTACATATTAAGGGCAAAACGATAAAGCATAAAAGCACAAACTAGGACCTTGGATAGGGAGTTTTATAATGTGGGCAACAAAAGGGTCAAAACTCAAAAGAAATGAAATATAATAAAGGATTCTTAGTTATATACTTCACACATTATTTGTGTAAATAATACTTGATTAAAAAAACTACTATGAAGGCCAAATACTTCACTCATGTTTGAACTTTGCAGGCTCATTTTCTTTGGTAGATAAAATCACAGAAGGCAACATTATGGAAAAGACACACTCAAATGATAGAAACACGTATGAGAGAAATTCTTAACCAAAACTGAAACAATAAATTTGAAACAACTGATTGGAAGGGTTCAAGTCATTACATGGAGGCACATGAGAAAAGAATTAGCAGCACAAGACGAATCTTTTGGGAAGGAGTTGATCCTTTCCCTTTGAAGTTTATCCTCCACCCAAAACAATGGTGAACAAGTAGTGTGATACCAAAGGAAACCAACCATATGAGCGTGATGATGAAACCAGCAGCACCGGTAAAAGCGACAGACTGCAGGAGAAAAATCAGATTAAGAGTGACTCTAACAGCAATACAACATGTCAAGCTTGGAAGAAGTCTAAAGTTTACACATGCTTCAAATTAAATCTTCCATCAATGACCTTCACATATTCATGTGTTAAAATCATATTTTTAGGGGACAGATCAGTCATCCGTACTCAACAGTCAACTTACCATAAATGAATTATTATATTTTTTTTTAGTGGTCTTACATTATTAGTTCCTTGACTTCCTCAACCGGGAATGATTTGGCATAAATAATACCCGATGCAAACATTTACTGCATATTGTACATTCTACAAAATATAAAATCTTTACAGCTAATTGTACCATGAGAAATTTTTCAGGTTTTAGTTCACAATCCAAGTCTTTACTAATATAGTCAAAGATCTAGATCTAAAAATGAAAATTTATTAGCATGTGCAACTGAAACTATAAATTAATGTCCATGTCAAAGTTATTTGTTAATAAGAATTCTGAAACTACTAATCTTTGATGAACAATTTTAAAACAACCCCACTACAGAAATTTTTTTATACGGTAACATTTAATAATCAAGTGTCATCCTACTGATGTAACATTTCATAAAAGAATATTTGTGTTCAGTGACAAACAGAATTACGAGAAAGGAAAACTAAAAGAAACAATGACATAAACATTTGTTCACACCCCCTACAAACAAAGAAAACAGAACAAAACAGAATCTGGATTAGTTAAAATTAGATCATTTTAAACTAGTAAACTACAAAACTAAGGACTAAAGTCTCAGACTCTCAGACATACACAAAAGTATTAAAACAACTCTGGGACGTCAGCACTTTAGGAGTGATAAGGTACTAATAGACCATAACAAATACACTCAGAAACCAAATATTTCACAAACGAACATAAACAAAGCATACAAACAATCAAAAACAAATTTATATTATTAAATTCATCAAAATCTGAACAGAACAACAATGAGACCACAAAAATAAATTATGATAAAGAAAATGAACAAGTCCTTACAGCCCAGTAATGCTTATTTGATATGTCCCATCCATCCTGATAAATCCTAAATTTTTTTAGTATATCGGGTCTCTTGGTTCGATTCCCGGCCAACACCAAAGGGATCTTAGGCTCATCATACGCAGGGCTCGGTGCTTGGGCTTGGCCTAAGATTCCATCTTTCAAAGGACCCAAGCTCTGATTGCCTGCATAATTTAAATAATTAGCTTAATATCAAATTAAGAACAATGTTCTTCAAAACATCACCATGATAATACAACATCTCATGATAGTACAACAACATACTTGGAAGAGTAAGAGTAAGGCAAAGGCATACTACAACTAAGAACAGAATTTCCCGGCATCGATCCGAAAGAAAATCAAATGATTATTGAACAAGAAAATAGTATGTACCATATCTAGAAAATGATTGGCAATTAAGGTAGTTGATCAGGTAGATGCATCAAATTCCAGTAATTAACAGAAATTATCTATTACTTGATTGCTACATTCCAACCTTTTTGTTTCTGTTAACCTTCCTTTCCTTTTGTAACAATATAATTACTCTATTCCATACGAAACTGATACCATTATAACAACACCCACATTGTCTTGAATAAATTATAGAAATTGTTTGCATTAAAGTTATCCCAAAATAGCACTCAAATAAATGAATTTAACAACCCAAATAAATAAAATAAAATAATAAAAGAAAAGACACAATCTCTTTAACAATAATACAGAGCTTTTTGTTTTTTTGATTTGAAAGAAACAATAATACAGAGCTAAACTAAGCAGTATCATCAAAAAAATAATGCAATTAATCACCAAAAAAGGGAAAAGGTTCATCTAAGCTACTAAGAACAAAAAGCAAAACAACCAATAATATAACAACCCTTTCCCCAGAAAAATCCATTTCAAGAACAGAACAACACCCACATCCCAAATAACAAAATGAAAATCACATAATATTAAAAAATCAACAACAAAAATGAAATCTAACAAAAACCCAGAAAAACAAAATGAACAAATAATTCAATAATATGATAATTACCCAAAATAGTGTTGATGGGGTTGATAGATTGTTGATGATTGAAGCCAGCTGAAACGAAAGAAACCCAGCTGATTGAACAACCCAGAACAAACAAAAGAACAACCGAACTTTTCATTTTTGCAGAATCTCTGCAAATCACAGCGTTTTACTCGGCAATGAAGAATCATGGATCAAACATAAAATGAGGAAAAAAAACAAAAATATTACGTTGATTTGGTATTCATTGAAATGATATTATTGAGTTACATTCACATTAAGAAAACGAATGAGATTGAGATTTTGGCAGAGTAAAAAAGGAGGTGTTAGTTGATACGGCTGCTTTTGAAGACTAGATTTAGTGCGAAAGTATTGCAATTGCACGCTTTTTATAAACATGTGAAGGTGATTAAAAAAATAGGAGAGAGAAAATGAATGAAGAAAGTAAAATAAAGTAAAGTAATGGAGTAAGAATGATGGACGCGTTAATTAAGTAATTTAGCGCAAAGTTTCTGACAAATTGTGTGAATTTGGTGTGATGGGATTGTGTGGGAATGCGGTCATCCACAGTGAAATGGGTCATTTTATTAAATAATATTCCATCCTGCTTTTTTAAGTGTTACAGATTTATGGTATACTCTCTTTGTTTTTTTTTTATTTGCATCACTTTGGATTGCACAAAGTTTTAGGAGAGTAATATAATATTATTAGTGGGTAAATAAATTATTATTGTAAAAATAAAATGGGGACCATGAAAGAGAAAATATGTAAGAGATGATAGATACGTAGTATTTTTATTATATTAGTGGGGACCATGAAAGAGAGAAATGATAAAATAAATTGAGTGGGGTTTAAAGTAAGAGAGAGCAATGATAAAATATAGTATAAAGTTACCAAATATAAAAGTGATGCATTTTAAAAAAAAACACCCCAAAAAGGAAAGTGATGCAAATAAAAAAACGGGGGGAGTACATTTTGTCAAGACTTAATACATATTGTATGTATTAAAGATTAAGAGGTGTCAATTCGGATACTTGAGTCAGATTCGATTAGTTTGGCTTGGGTTAAAGGTAGACTTGTTTTGTCCAGCTTATTTTTAGTTCAGTTTCAATCAGTTTAGTTCAATTTAGTTTAGTTCCTATTTTTTTTTTCCTCTCATAAACAGTTTATTTCAGCTCTATTCAGTTCAGTACAGTCAAGTTCAGTTCAGCCTCAATCATTTTCAATTCAGTTAAGTTGTTTTTTGTAAATCTTAACATGCCTTGAACTGAACTTAATAGAGCTTAAATGAATTGTTTATGAGAGAAGGAAATTAGGAACTGAACTGAACTAAACTGAAATTAAGCTGAACATAATAGGCTCTAAGTCTAGTTCAAGTTTGATTTATGCTAAATCATATAAGTTGAAACTTAAATCGAGTTTCTTTAAGGTCGGATTGAGTTAGATTTTGGCATCTTTAGGGTATGTTTATATTGAAATAGAAAAATTGGTCGCAACACCTTAAAGTATGGCTTAGATGCAATGAGCACCCTGAACTTTGCGTAGTAGCCAAAACACCACCAACTATGGTGATAGGTGCAACGCATGACATAAATAATGAAAATTTCTAGCAACTTATTTCACCGAGATGAAGTAAATCTTCACACTTTAAAACAGTTATGTAGTCTTCCATCCACTAAGCACGATGAAATTAGTAGCTGGAAATTTACATTTAAGGCACGCATCACACCTAACACCATAGTTAGTGGTGTTTTGGCTACTACGCATAGTTCAGGGTACTCACTACTCAATGTACCTAACCCATATTTCAGGGTGTTGCGGCCAATTTTGCTTATTGAAATATTGTGGCAAATGTTAATGAATGCTCCAAGGGCATTTGGATAAGACGAAGAAACGGTAGGAATATTAACTTGAAATAAACATTTATTAATTACACCGATTGACAGGTGATTTTAACATGCATCCCCAAATTAATACCATTTTAAGAAATATTTTTTTAACTGTTATCTAATGCCGCTGGTTAACAAGATCCAAATACTACGTATTATTTATCTTTTTAATTACTAGTAAGGCCCTGTTCACTTCACATTAAAAAAAATGATATTCAGTAAAAATTAATTTCAGTTCAGTAAAATTAATTTGAGTTCAGTAAAAATAATTTAAGTTTAGCAAAAATTATTTCAGTTCAGTAAAAATAATTTCAGTTCAACAAAAATAAGGTGAAGTGAACGGGAACTAAATCTAAAATGTTAAAGGTTGATATTTAAATATTAATTTTATAGGATTACATAAGACAATTGACAACATATTTATTATCATAAATCACTAATATGATTAGAGTAGAGCATGTATATAGTGCAAAAATCTATCTATCTATGACTGTACTAAGTGTGAAATCAGATTTCAGTCAAAACCTTAGTCTCTTATACAAGGAAAGTTAAAAAAAAATACAAATCAATATCTGATTTGGAATTATTCTTAAATCGAAAAAAAAATATTGTTACCATATTTTTCCATAGTACTCCCTCTGTTTCATAATGTTAGTCCCATATAGAATCAATCACATAAAATATGAAAAGAAATATATTTAGAATCTAACATTAAAGTACAACATAATTCATAATTAGTTTACCTTATTTAACTTTTTTCATTTTTTATTAGAAAAGCACAAGCCATAATTGCATAATTTAAGGTAAAAATTTCCTTACTTACAGTCATGTCATCAATCTACAACCAATTAATTCCAAAAAAATCAAGTTATAAATGAAATATGTGCAATATGGGTAGATCTTTTTGAAATGCCCAAAATAGTATATGGGACTAACATTATGAAACGGAGGGAGTAATATTCTAACAATTAAAAAATAAAGGAAAGTTTTCTTGTAATATCTTTCAATTTGAGGAATTTTTTAAATATTAACATAGTGTCTTATGAATGTAATATATATCTATCTATAACTATATACTAAAGGAAAAATGATGAATGATATGTGTCAATTCTTGGAGAAAAAATCAATATCAATCAATCGTCAATATATAATACTAAAACAGACACAAGGAAATGTGTCATTTCTTGGTGCTATCTTTTCCCTCCAAAATCCCCTCTCTATTTTTTCCTTTTTTGTTTATTTTAGCCAATATCATTAATTACCGACTCTAAGTTATACACAAAATATTCACCGAACCATATAATATAATTGTGATCATATTGAATTATATACATTCCATTTCTGTAATATTTTTCATTTTATGTAATTTTAGACTACATATCTAATGTAATTTTAAATAAAATAGTATTTCCAAATCTTTAATATACAAACCTAAAGTAAAATTAAATAAGTTAGATTAAAAAACATACATCTAAAAGTTAAAAAACATTTTTCAAGTAAAATTTTATGCTAAATCTATAATAATAATAATAATAATAATAATAATAATAATAATAATACCAATAATAATAATAATAATAATAATAATAATAATAATTAAAGATTTTGGTGAATACGACGGGTTAAACATGAACTTCGTATTAGATTGTAGCTATTGAAGCGAAAGGTATGATAAGTAAGTTTTAGTTTTTTTCTCTATGGGTGATAGGAAATGACTTAGTCAACTTCTCTTATATAATTATATGAGGAGCAATATTCATTTAATTTTCAATTAATAAAATAAAATTATAAAAAATAAAAAACACAAATAACATAAAATTCTATTCAAATTACGTTCCTTTATTTTTGTATCGACTATTAGTAAATGAGGCCCTTATTACTAATTGAATTATATTTGTTACGGGGTTCTAATATTGATTTATATAATGTACAACGCACGGGCACTATGCTAATTTTCAATCAAAACCTTAGTCTCTCATGTTAAGAAAGTTACAAAAAAAAATATAAAAAATAATAATAACATAAAATAAAATAAAATAAATAAATAATAAATAAATAATGCAAGTATATTTTAAGTTAAAGTTATACAAATAAATTCATTGCATCAACTTCTTTCAAAATAACAAATATAATATTTTCTTAATCCTACATCAACATTTTTAAAATAAAAATAAGAAAATTTACGAAGATTAAATAATATTTTCATGTAATTATCTTTGACTTGTGGTAACATTTGGGTAATAAAGTTTAGATTTTATTCATAGCTTATTATTAAGTGCAATGGAAACAAAATAGATTATGTACAATTAAATATCCTATACTAAAAAGACATTTTCATATTTCAAATTTTCTAGGTAATGGCATATTTTATATTTTCCTCACAATTTCAATAAGAAGTTTTGCAATTACCTACAAAAGTAGATGTTATATTTTAAAAATATATGTTATAGGTCAAATTAAATGTTATAGAAAAAAAATTCAATTAAGCTATCTTAATCATTTAAATTAAAATTAAAATACATATTTTTGTATGAACTACTTTAGAACTAATAAAGTGCAATATTTTATAACAAAAATTTATCAAATATCGTGTGTTACACGGGACCTAATCTAGTATCATATAAGACATTAAAATTGGAGGAAATAACAAGTATGTCTTGCACAATAACTTGGATTTTTATTTTCCGTAAATTTTATCTGGTAATGAAAAATCTTTAGTAATGTAATGAAGCAAACAACTTTTAAAACATAATTACAATTGAGAAGATGTTTATACTTGTTATTACTTAAAATAAATTGGAGGTCTAAAATATCTAGCATGACTATACATATGATTTTCACTAACTTTTACATGTTGCTAGCCATACGATTTGACCATCATTCATGAGGTTACTCAGCTAGTGTTATAGTTCAATATGTTGTGGTGTATTTGCAATAGTTATATAGACCTTTTTTTTTTTGAAAGAAGTGCCTAATGACACTATGTTTCATTAGTTAAATACATACGATATCTACAAGTGACCATTAAAGATAATGAAAAAATATTTAACAAAATCAAAAAAAAAAAAAAAAAAATTAACTGGGCAAGGGCTTGGAATCCAAAAATATAGTAGATATAACAATTCGATGCATTCTCGCTTTGTTGTCTCATACAAGTTTTTGGGTGAATCTGTCGTCGCTTCTTCATAATTTTGTGAGGAAGAACCTTTTTGTTTTATGATTTTGTAAACCGAATTTGAGCAATAACCATCAATGTAGCCCTACAAACTGGAGACCATATCAAACGCAAATAAAACTGTCTTTCGAAGAAGTTCAAAAAACTATGTCTTTCGAAGGATTTTTAAAATCCTTATATTTCAAAGGAGATCGAAAAAAACTAGTCCTCAGAAGAAGATAAACTCTTTCTTTCAAGGAAGACATTATTATAATCCAAGCAAGAAGCAATAATAATAATAATAATAATAATAATAATAATAATAATAATAATAATAATAATAATAATAATAATTAGGGCTTTTCACTGGTAAAATTCAATGCAAAACCCTCAAAAGTAA